TGCAGGGTGGCCTACCCTCAGTCTCGCAGGCGTTGAGATCCCGTCATATGCCCAATGAATCTGAAATAAAGGAGGGGAGACGATCGTACTTTCTGGCTGGGCGATCCCTAAAGACGACAGTAGACCAACAAGCTTAGTTCTCATTTACCTTTCTTGTCCATTTCTTATCTGACCTGCCCCTCTCTGTGGGAAATAATGAATAAGTAATTCCTCCCCCTCCCCCCGCATAATTTTCCGACACCGAGAGATCCTGGGGCGATTGATGTTGTTTCGTGGCGTGGGCGGGCGTGGGCGGTAACTCGACATAGCACCCAGCCCAGGACAGAGGCGCGTAGCTCAACACGGTGGGTGGATCCCCCCCTGCCCTGCCCACATTTGTCTGCGAGTGGTCGCACTCGGGTGCAGAGTGGCAGGCGAGGGGGAGGACTTCCTGGAGAAGCACAAGTTTTAGCAGCCTCCGGGAAGAGCCCCCTTCCTCTCCGCCCCAGTCGCGAGCCCCAGTTTGGAAGCCGACGACTGCTCGACCTTCGCCCGCACTGCGAGGGCGGTGAGTAAAAAAAATAATATACGAATTTCATCTCCATCTCTTGCAAGATGCTTTTTTTTTTTTTTTTGCTCTCTGAAAAATTGAAAAGGTCATGCGGTCGGTGAGAAGTGCGATGTGTCCACAAGACACGTAACCTCGCACGTAGAACGGCCCACGCGCCACACCTGTTGGTACACGGCCGGGAGAGGGAAAGGGGGGGGGGGGGGGGGGGGGGGGGGGGGGGGGGGGGGGGTTCTTTTTCTTCATAGTGAGCGGGCGTGCCGCCCGTCCGCCGCCCTTCCTCCCCCCTCTGCCATGGGAGCTGCTTCCCTTCGGAGCCAACCGGGTGGAAGCGGCGAGCTGAGACGGTGTGGGGCGGGCGGGCGTCCCCATGGGTCAGGAGGCAACAAACTCGACGCACCCGGAACACATCCGCGTCGAGTTTAGATCGCCACCCAGAGTCCATACCCTCAGTCCGAAATCCCCCCCTCCCCCCGGTTAGGTGACACGAGGCCACTTTTTCCCCCCGAGTGCAAGCGGAGGCTCGGGGGCCTCTTTCTCCACACCGATGGCACCGTCGTGGCTTCGAGGCTCCGGTGTATACACCAGCGATCCCTCCCCTCTGGTATGGGGATTGGGGTCGGATCCCCTGGGGGTAATATTGTTTGCACGGGGAGGGGGGAAGGGGTGAACTGGTGTCACTGAGTCCATCAGCACTGCTGGCTAGAAAGTGGCTCAGGTGTCAGCCCCCCTACCCGCCAACCGCTACGCTCCCCCCCCCCCCACTGGATGTCGAGTGCACCCCCATCTCTCTAACACACTGCACATCCAAGCCATGCTCGGCCGCGTCATGTTTTGATGGGGGAAAATAACAGGAAGAGAGGATTGGGGAAGTGGATAGGGGAATACAGCAAAGTGCACTTTTGGAACAAAAATGCGCCATAGAGGCAACATGGTTTACGAACTTGTTGCGTACGTATACATCAAGGAACCCATGCAGTGTACAAATTTGCCATTTTGCTATATAGAGGGAGAATGCAAAGGAGTGCACAAGCACCTAAAAAAGCCCGTCCACTTCCGTAGTCGGGCTCTATGTGCCATGTTGCCCACTCGCTCCGTCTCTCTCTCTCTCCACCTCTCTCCCAAGGTCTCCAGCTCGTCGCCGTGGCCGCGGCCCAACCCGCCCCGTTGATAAGGTGTAAGGTTTCCGCCTCTCTCGGTCCGCCCGGGCCGGCGCGGCCGAGTCCTCGCAGCGATACGGCCAGATAGAGTTGTTGCATATGCGCAAACACAAACACTCACTGCTCACACTCAGTCTCTCTCTCTCCCTCCACCCCCCCCCTCTCTCTCTCTCTCTCTCTTTTTCTCTCTCTCTCTTCTCTCTCTCACACACACGCGGTGAGACATTTGGGGACGCGTGGAGCGAGCGGCTTTGCTAAACTGAGACGGCCCACCGCCGCACCGCACCGCCGCCAAACGTGCGCCAAAGTCATCATCAAAGCCATATCAGCCTCAGCCGTACGGAAGGGCTGCGGTGCCGCGCGGTGGCGGCGCGGACCGCTGCGGGGTGCGAGGAGAGCGTCGAGAGCGTCTGTATTGCGGAAAGTGCGCACTACCTATCCACGCTGACCCCCCCCCCC